TTTTTTTTTTTTTTTTTTTTTTTTTTTTTTTTTTTTTTTTTTGTTTCTCGTTACGTCGAATGTTTCTTTTTTTGGTTGTGTCCCGTTTGTCTGCAGTGTCTCTTCTTTGGTGGAAAGGGCATCCCGAATTGAATCTGAAATGCGGCATGTTTTGTTTTTTGTTGTTGTGTTTCGTCTTTGGGGATCTGGAAATCGGTAGTGCAAAGCAAGCAGCCAAGTGGGATTCGCTCAACTCGCCCCTGACTTCGATGTGTGAATGAGGAAACAACCCACCCAACCTACGTTTTCCCATCCGCGGAACCAAAAGAGGGGTTTGGAGGATGTAGGAGGGGGTGATGGTGATCCCATCCGCGGAACCAAAATGAGGGGTCTGGAGGTAGGTAGGTAGGGATGATGATGATGATGATGATGATGATGATGGTGATGGTGATTACTACCCTCTGTATTCATTGGTTCAGCGGATCACTTGGTAGGTAGGGAAGACTGTACGAAGTGAAACGTATATTCAGAAAAGTGGACAAAAAAAACTAGAAAATAGAAAAGTAAAAAAAAAGAAAAAAAGAAAAGAAGGAAAGTAGAGGAGAGGAGGAGGAAGGAAAAGGATAGGAGGGCAGAAATATTGCAGTCGCGTACATGTTACTTGTCGTAACCGTCTTTGTGTTCGATGATGAACCAAGGATTAAAAAAATGGCGGTGTATAGTTCCATGTTCTAGCGGAAGATTCATTCTCATTTTAGTCGATGATATATAAGAAGTTGGTGTGTATCTAGTGTTGGGGAGGACGTTGACGTTGTTGGACGTGAGAGAAAGTGACGGTACGGTATGGTGTCGCCTGAGAAATAGGGCCTCGTTCCACTCCTCTTCACATGCAGAAAAGACAAACAATATGGCGGTGTATCGTTCCATGTTCTGGCGGAAGATTCATTCTCATTTTGCACATTTGGAGAGTTAATGGAGCGAGGCCCATGTAGTCATCAGCTTGATTCTAGAAGCTATAGCCCGGAGTGGTCGAAGCGGTTCCCTTCTTCTTTCACTAAACGACAAAAACACCTCGCCCGTTTCCGATGTAGCAGTCATTGGGGGTTACCCCCCGTTTTTTCAGCGTTAGACACGTGTCGTTATCGGTCGCACGTGTCGGTATCGGCACGGTGATCATTGTTTCCATTTTAAAAACGGTGACGGTTGTTTTCCCCTCCCATCTCCATCCCTTCTTTCCAGGGCCGCCCTCCTTCCCCCCCTCTTCTTCTCTCCACCGACCTGTGGGTTTCAATTTGTAGTTTGCGTCTGGCATAATTTTTTGCTGATTTCTGCCGTCTTATATGCCTCCTCTTACATCTGTGCATACGAGAGGGGGGGGCATGGCCCGTTTCTGAGTGACGTCACCGATTACAGGTTGTCGACCCGCATGGCCTTTTGTTTGTTCCCCCCTCCCCCCCGGTCTCCGTGACTTACAGTATTGTCTTTTTCCTTCGCCCCGGACCTGCATGGACTGTGGTCAGGAGCGCGTAATTCCCTGGAGCGAAACCATCTTCTCTTTTTACTTCTCCCCCCCCCCCCCCCCCCCAGAAAAAAAAAAAAACCATATTGCTGCTCTGGGAGCATGATCTATGCTGGGTTCATCTCACACTTCCTTTCTCTTAATCACTCGTTCTATCTATAGCTTATTATTACTACTGTAGTATCGTGTAGTATCTTCGGACCGGAGCGCCTTGCTCCCCTTGCTCCCCTTGCTCCCCTTGCTTCCCTTGCTCCCTTTGCGCCCCTTGCGCCTCTTGCGAACGGAAAAAGGAACCAAGATTTGACGAGGAGGGACTGGGGGGGTGGGAGGCGGAAGGAGTTTTCTGTGTGTTGATTGATATTCAATAGCAGCAGCAGGCGCAAGCCCTCTCTCCCTTTCGGGGAAAAAAAACAAGTGGCGCGATTCCGCCCGATGATTGTCGAAGGTCTGTCTCGGCACTTGTTTTTTTTCGCCGAAATGGGAAATCTCCTCCTGCTCTCCGGGGGGGGGGACCATTCGCCTTCCCTTGGTTTCCTAAACGAGTATGGGTATGGGTGTTTGGCACTGGTGTGGTTGTGCGGCACGCGGCGCTACTAAACAACCCCTCCCGTGATGAGAGAATCTCATCGCGCTGCGCGCGCTACTCTCATCTGCTCTGCTCACAGGTAAGGCACATGTGTACAACCGCGCGCGCGGCCTTAGGGCGTCGCCAAACCACTGTCGAAATGTGGAAAAGACGAAAATGTGGCGGGTGCATTTGGCCATGTTCTAGCGGGAAGTTCATTCTCATTTTGCACATTTCGAGAGTTGTGCGCCGATGCCCTTTTCCTGGAGTAAAAGAGCACATGTACAAAGCTCCGTGCGTTATTCCGCTGTTTTTTCCTTTCTCTTCTTCCTCTTCCCCCCCTCAAAACAAAAACAAATGAAAAGGCGAAACTACGCGGGAGTCACAGAAAGAGTTTGAAAATACACTTTCGGGCGAAAAACAGTTTCAAATTGCACTTCGGGCAATGTATACAAGCTAGTTTTCCGGTCAGGTAGGGTTCTGTGGGGGTGTGTTATGCTCGGGGGAATGCCTGAAGTGTAATTTCAAACTGTATTTGTGACTGTACTCAAGTTACCCCTTCAAAAAAGAAAAAAAAGAAAAAAAAGAAAAAAAGAAAAAAAGAAATTGAATTGTGTGATGACTCTGTGAACTCCCCCCCAAAAAAAAAAAAGAAAAAGAAAAAGAAATTATTGATGCGGATGTGCGGTGGGGAGACGGCTTTAGTAGTGGTGGGCATCAGGGACGGTAGCAGCTCAGTGGTTGATAAGTAAAACGGTTTTTTTTTTGTTTTTTCTCTCTTTTTCTTTTCTTTCTTGTCTTAGACTGTTATATGCGGTGATCTGCACGCGCCGTATAAAACAATTCGCCTGGTCCTCAGCTCATAACCTCTGGCAGTCATTTGCTGTTTTCTTCCGCATTCTTACTATGAATGAAGCAAAGACCGCATCGATCTTCTTGTAGCACAAGTTAAAACTTCCAGCTCATCATTATTAGCACTATCTCATCGTCGTCGTCATCATCATCATCATCATCATCATCAGGCTCGCAAGAGTCAGAGCTGCGGAGCCTCTACCAACACCACCATCAGCGCCATAACGGCTACAACGAACATTACCATCATTAGGCCATATACTAATATCATCATCATCATCATTGAGAAACGAATCATCGCGTTGAGGGAAACGGGCGAGTGACTGCGGCCGCAGAAAGACGGAAACGCAAGCAATCCATTTACGACAGCCGCGATAACCGCTTCGGTGGTGTCCGTATATCGTCGTCATCGACATCGATTCTCTCATGCTATCGCCACTGATAGAAGACACTTTCGAGTTCAAAAATGAATGTGGCAGACGCCATCTCATCTCGCTGTCTGTGTGTGTGCCTCTGCGTGCGCGTGCTCTCTCTCTTTCTCTCTCTCTCTCTCTCTCTCTCGCTCGCTCGCTCGGCGCGCGCGCACGCGTGAGAGAGAGAGAGAGAGAGAGAGAGAGAGAGAGAGAGAGAGAGAGAGAGAGGACCGTGTCGTCTTTGGTAAACTGGACCCGTAGTCTGGAAGTGGGACGTTGCAAAGTTGGAGCACTTTCTGATTGGAATTGTCCCGCGGACGAGTTCTGTAGTCATTCCACTGTTTTGTTTTGTCCTTTTTCTTTTTTTTTTAATACGGGGAAACCAAACCATGTGGACTTCGCTGGTGAGTTAGGCGGGAGGCGTCGATCGAGAAGTGTGAGAAATATATGAGCAGACGGTGCTGATGGCACTGTAGCATCCCGACCGACCGGATCTCTTGGGAGTAAAATACCGCTAAAGGCAATGGGCCGCGCTCCACTACTCACGACATGCATAAAAGACAAAAACTATGGCGATGCATCTTTCCATGTTCTGGCGGAAGATTCATTCTCATTTTGCACATTTCGTGATTGCCCAAGGACTTTTCGAATTTTACGTGAAGATCCAGGGTACAAGGCCTACATACAGATCTACAAGCAGGCCCTGTCCGCATGATGCAGTTGCCGATTACATGTCGATGGTGTGAAATAATAATGCACATCGGGCCTGTCGAGAATTGGCCGATTCGTTGTCGGCTTCTCATGGACCAAATTCCCATCTCTCTCTCTCTCTCTCCCGTTGTCCTGTCCCAGATATCGTAG